CTATTGATGCTCATCTAACTCGAACCCATGTAATGTGATATTTCTCTCCAAGGTTTCACCTTTGAATTTTGTCATTTTTCGTCATTTTTACATTCTTTTCTCCAATTCTTCATTAAATATAAATTTTTACCTACAAAACACAATATAACATAAATTAGGAGGAATTTAATTCAAAAGACAACAAAATGTCATGATTTAGGGCCACAAATAAGTGTATAAACTACACTTATCAGTGTTCTATTATTGGCCCCATTGTTCTGTCTTGGTATATTCTAGCTGGACGAAGGAAACTATGTCAATTCATGAATCAACTTGCCAGCCTGTCATTTTATTTGATTCATAGGAAAATGATGTCTGCTTGTACAATTTTCTCGAGTATTGGTCTATTTTATAGAAGATTTATCTTTCGGAAAGAACCTATTCTACGAACTACTTCAATTCCATATAGAGCTCATTTCTCCCTTCAATGTATTCGAAGACAATGATGATGGGTTTAGTAAGTCGGATTGAAAAATGTGTATATCAATATCCGTGCTAAATAATTACCAAGTCTTAGATTTTGTCATGGGAATTTTAAAAAAAATAAAAAATAAAAAACCAATTCAAAATGCAAAATTATTTAAATTATTCAATTACAATAGTCAAACAGTCAGATATTGCCCACTTCTAAATTTTTTGGTATAGGAAGACTTTTTCCTATATATGAAATGATTAATTTACTTTTAAGAAATTACTTCCTCTTTTCTCGATTAATCTTCTTCATCATCCTAACTCTGTATCCTTTTCGCCCTTTGCTTCGTATCTAATTGGCAAAGAGATGATACACAAAGACGCACAGGGAGAAGGGGCGTAGGAAAAAAAGCAAAAAGAAACGAATTGGAAAAATGGAAATGGTCTCATCTTCTACGTATAAACAAATCAACGGTTGATTTCTTCATTTAGCCTAAGAGCCATAGGAGTCTATTCAGTGCTTTCGTTTTACGTACTAGCATGCTGACAGCGAAAAATGGCAATCGCACTGAGCTAAAAACTTTTAAGAAACAAGGGCCTATGTTTGTTAGTATGGTCCTTTGGTTTTCTGTTGTTGGCCCCATTGTTCTGTCAATTCATGAATCAACTTGCCGGCCTGTCAATTTATTTGATTCATAGGAAAATGATGTCTGCTTGTACAATTTTCTCGAGTATTGGCCTATTTTACAGAAGATTTATCTTTCGGAAAGAACCTATTTCTACGAACTTGTTCAATTCCCTATAGAGCTCAACTCTCCCTTCAATGTATTCAAAGACAACGATGGTGGGTTTAGTAAGTCGGATTGAAAAATGTGTGTATCAATATCCGCACTAAATAATTACCAAGTCTTAATTCAAGAAGGAAATGCGTAGAAGTTGGAAATTTTGTGTATTTGAATAAAAATATTAGATAGCCGGTCAAGCTATTATGATTCATTTAAAATCAACATCAGGACAGGATGGCAAGCAAAGGATTGTTTCGTTTCTTTGTCATTATAGATAATGATTGATGACCAATTTTTGTGGCTTGTAAATATAAATTATATGTTTGATGCTAACAAGATTAGGACAAGGAAACATTCAACTATAAGTTTCGAAGTGCTCTTATCTTTGGAAAGAAATAAATGTGAAAAATATGTTAATCATAAGTTTCGAATGGGCTAAATATCGAAACTATAATTAAACATAAAGCTTTGAATTACTACTCTTAATAATGTTGAATATTTAAAAATGGAACTTCAAACATCTTCAGCCTCCTAACAATTTTTTTGTAAAATTTTGGGCTCAAGTTGTTAAAACAGATACATTTGATTTGCTTAAAACTTTTAGGAAAGACCNTTTGATTTGCTTAAAACTTTTAGGACAGACCAAATCCAATTTTTCATTACAAGCATGACAAGTACAAAATTCATGATAACGGTGGTTAGACTTGAAGATTGATCGCACGCAAGTAGATGAAACAAGTAAATTTGGGTTATTTCATCCAAAAGCTTACACATATATTTAACTCCCGTTTGGTAGGAATTAAAATATAAATTTTAATGTAAGTCAAAATTAACAATTAATTTTAACCAGAATATTTATGGGATCCACAATTTTTTAATCACACATTTCATCAATTTTTATCAAAATTTGCAAAAAATCTCATTTAACCCCCCTCCCCGTGTAACGCCCCAAATTCTTGGAACTCAAAGCGTTAAAAATCTTC